CATGGGGGGCAGGAGTCAGGGTGAGGGAGGGAGGGGTTCTGGGGTGGGGGGCAGGAGTCAGCGTTTCCTGGCTGGTGGCACTCTGGAGCACATCGGCACCACGCTGGTCGGGCGGTGGCTCCCTGGGCTTGCCAGGGCATGTACCGCAGGGCCCGGGCCACGGGCAGGAATCTGGCCACCTCCCCTGTCCCCTGATGCACCCAAACCTGGCACGTCTGCACTCCCCACCCTTCTTTCAGAGGGCACCTTTCTCGCCCAGTTCCTGGGAATCCTTTCTTCCCGACTGTTTGCTCAGATCCTTGCCCATCCCTTGTTGGACACCTGCCCAGCCAGCCTCCATATAACGGCACAGCACGTCACGCCTCAGCCCAGACCTGCAGCCGCCCCTCCGCCGGGAGCCCAGCGCCAGGTGAGTTAATGACCGGGTTGGGCTCCACTATGGAGCCAGCTGATGGTCTCCTGAATTCAAGTAGCACCCTAGGGCAGGCAGAGATCTCAGGAGGCATCATGTCCAGCCCCCTGTCCCGAGCAGGACCAATCTCAGCTCCATCACCTGGCTCAGCTGGGAGTCCTGCCTCCTGTCCGTAGCTCAGGGAGAGGAGCGGGGTCTAGTGGTTAGAGTGGGGGTGGCACTAATGTCTCCTGCATGTTGGAGAAAGTATGTCATGTGGAGATTGCAGCCGAGGGCTCGCCTGACCCCACTGCGGCTCCCTGAGTCCTGGAGCGGTGTTTTCAGTGGCTCAGATCATCACTACGAACTGCAGTATTTCGACGTTCAAAGCAGGCAAGTGGGCTGGGGTCAGATCACATAGAGAGGGAAACTGAGGCTACTTGCTTGTTTCAAGGTGTCTCCTGAAAGGGGAAAAAAATAAAGAGGGTGTAGGACTGCAGCTGGGATGGGCAAGTGCAACCTAAGGGAATTAGGGGATCGCTTGTGGGATTTGGGCACCGAACTCTGGAAGGCTCCTTTTCAAACTCCTCGCTTGGGTCCCCCATCGGGAAGACTCCAAAAATCTGGAGACAGCGGTGAGAGAGATGGGCGCACACGCTGGGAGGGGCGTTCCGAAGAAGGTCTGGGTCGGGGACCTTTCTCCAGGGAGTTGCTCTGGGGTAGGATCCCGAGTCTACCTCATGTCAGGCAGTAACAATGCTGCATGGAGGTACGACCCCGAGTAGACCAGAAGTGTCTACGGGGATTGGCGTGTGGGTGGGGTTTGCGTCCACCCTGCAGTGAAAGGTAGGGCCCAGGCAGAGACAGGTGCACCCTGAGATGCTGTCACCAGGACGGCTTTGCTTCCCTCGACCACGGGATGCTGTTCCGAGAAGCACGGCTCAGCAGGGATAGGGTTTGCCTCTCGAGGGAGGGCAGGAGAATATTTGGACTCAGACTGGCTAACCTAGTGTGGAGTCTCTAACCTCGGTCCAACCGCAGCAGGAGACCAAAGCCCACAGTAAGTCTGTGTCTCCATGTTTAAGCAATTACAAGGAACCCTGGGCTGCGGTAGCAGGGACCAAGCAGTAATGAGCTAGAACGGTGGAGTGACCCAAGTCAGTATCTGAGAGGCCTGTATTGAAATGCAAGGAGTCCGGGGAAAAAGCAGGAAGAACTTGAAGCGCTAGTAAATAAACCCAACGTTGACCTCACTGCTGTCACAGAGGCCCGGTGGGACAAGACACGCAACTGGCATATGGGTGTAGAAGGGGACAGCTGGCTCAGGAAGGATAGGCAGGGAAAAATAGAAGGGGGTGTTGCTGTGTATAGGTAACAGTTCTGCAGAAAAGGCCCTGGGGATTCCAGTGGATGAGAAGCTGGAGATGAATCAACAGGAGCCCTTGTAGCTAAGAAGGCTAATGGCATATTGGGAGGCATTAGGAGGAGCATTGCCAGCAGATCCAGAGAAGTGATTATTCCCCTCTATTCAGCTCTGGGGAGGCCACATCTGGAGTATTGTGTCTAGTTTTGGGTCCCCCACTACAGAAAGGCTGTGGACGCATTGGAGAGGGTCCAGCGGAGGTGACCAAAATGATTTGGGGGCTGGAGCTCATGACCTATGAGGAGAGGCTGAGGGATTTGGGCTTGTTTAGTCTGCAGAAGAGAAGAGTGAGGGGGGATTTGAGAGCAGCCTTCAACTTCCTGAAGGGAGGTTCCAAAGAGGCGGGCGAGAGGCTGTTCTCAGTGGGGGCAGGTGGCAGAACAAGGAGCAATGGTCTCAAGTTGCAGTGGGAGAGGTCTCTTCTAGAGATTAGGAAAAACTATTCCCCTAGGAGGATGGGGAAGCGCTGGGCTGGGTTCCCTAGGGAGGGGGTGGAATCTCCATCCCTAGAGGTTTTTGAGTCTTGGCTTGACAAAGTCCTGGCTGGGATGATTGAGTTGGGGTTGGTCCTGCCTTGGGTAGGGGGTCTGGACTCGATGACTTCTGAGGTCTCTGCCAGCACATATGATTCTATATGTGCCCCACTACACAGTCAACCTGTGGAACTCCTTGCCAGAGGATGTGATGGAGGCTAGAACTTTAATAGGGTTCACAAAGGAGCTATATAGCTTCATGAAGGTTAGGTCCATCAATGGCTGTTAGCCAGGCTGGGTAGAAATAGTGGCCCTGGCCTCTGTTTCTCCGGAGGTGGGTGTCAGGGGTGGGATCACGTGAGGATTCCTTGTTGTATTCCCTCCCTCTGGGGCACCTGGTATTGACCACTGTGGGCCGACAGGACACTGGGCTGGATGGACCTTTGGTCTGACCCAGTCTGGCCGCACTGACGTTCTTATATATTACAAATGTTTACACTTGGACTGAGGTGGAGATGGACGTAGGAGATAGATGTGTTGAGAGTCTCTGGATTAGGTTAAAAAAGGGTAAAAACAAGGGGGATGTTGTGCTAGGGGTCTACTACAGACCCCCTATCCAGGCAGAAGAGGTGGATGAGTCTTTCTTCAAACAACTCACAAAACCATCCAAAGCGCAGGATGTGCTGGTGATGGGGGACTTCTACTGTCCCGACGTATGTTGGGAAATTAACCCAGCACGACACAGATTATCCATCAGACTCTGGGAAGGTACCGGAGAGCTATATTTTTTAATTCCAGAAGGCAGTGAATTCTAGGCAGGGGAAGTCTGTTCTGGTGCTGACTTTGACGACGAGGGAGGAACTGGTTGAGTATTTGAAAGTGGACGGAGCGTAGGTGAAAGCGAATTTGCAATAGAAAAGGGAAGAGGCACTTAATGATGTCTTTGTTCCAGTTTTCACCAAGAACGTTGGTAGCGACGGGTTGCCTACCAGTGAAAGCCAGTGAAAATTGGGTAAGTTCAGCAGCTCCAAGATGGAAAGAACAAGTTAAAATTATTTAGACAAGTGGGATATCTTCAAGTCATCAAGTGCCCTGAGTATTACTGATGACCCTCAGTTACACGATGACCTTAGTAACACCGGTTTCTACTTCATTTTTCTAGCCTCAAATACAAGAATGACACATGCACAGAAAGGGGAAAATCATAGTCACTAAATTGAAACTTTCCCAATGATATCTTACATGGAACATATTCCTGTTTGGTCACGTTCACATTCATAAGCTCATTTGCCTGAAGCACTGGCCACTTTTTCATTATTGGCTGTGTTTGGAAAGTGGCAACCAAGTTTTTATTGGCTTTTTTTCTCCATCATTTCCAGGCTGAGGGTCAGTGGAATTTTTGGGCTCCTAACTCCCTTTGGAAAACCCCACCTGATGTCCCTGTGGGACTCTGCTAAATGTTCCTTTTGTCCGAACCTGCCACAGAAAGAAGAAAAGAGCAAGATAGAGATTGGCTTGGTCCCTCTTCGAGGCGCTCTCTGAAGGTTCCTGAAGGAAGAATTCCACCTCTACGGGGAAAATCCGCAAGACGCTACGGAAAGGTCTGAGTCAAAAAAGGTAAAATTATTTTCCTTCTATGAACTTGTGCTGTCCCACCCAACGTCGATTTCTTTCTGAAATATCATGTGGTCACCTGTATCCCTGAATTTGGCTGAGGTTTCTATGTACAGCCAGGATACAAATAGACAGAGTGCATCCTGGGTAATGTCGCTCTCTGCACCCATGATTTTCCACTTCCTGGCAACTCTGGGAAAGATGAGCTAATTTATTGGCCTTTTCTTTTACTTTTGGCAGGAAGCGAGAATGATCCGATTTTCCCAGGAGCTCTCGGAGGGCGAGAAAAACGCTACCAGGAACCGGAAAGGAAAAGTCCTGAAATGTCTCCAGGACCTTGGCATCTCCTGTGATGAGGTAGGTCTCCGTTACCCCCGACAGTGCTAAGGGGAACAATCTCGAATATTAGCTATGCGTCTGGTGATGGAGGGGGCTGGTACAGCAGGAGGAAAGCCTCCAAAACTCTGCTCCATGCAACCCCACATTCCCAGAGCACCTCAAAGGCAGCCCATGGCCACGGATGTTATACACCCTCGCCCCTTTGCAGGGATCAAACTTGGAGGTCTTCAGTGCAAAAACGTGCAAGCTTCTCACCCCGACTCTGAACGGAGTAACTCCCTTAGAAGTGCAAGAGGCTTTCTGGGGTTAACCCCGAGAAAGCTCCAGGCTCTCATAGACCCAATCAATCTCATGAACGCCAAGTTCCTACAACTTTGAGTTGGCCCACCTGTGTCTGTGTCTAGCCCTCCCATGGCTTGGTTGGGCCCCGTTCCCCTACCCCTTTTCTTTCAAGTTGCTCCAGCATCACATATAGGGAGGAGGAACCATGCCATAAAGTCCCAAACTCAACCAATTCTACTAGTCACATACACCGAGAGGCGTTGGAATTACAAGTCATCCACAAGTTCACTTCACATGCTAATGGCCTCAATCGTGATGAGGGATGGTTGGGACGCTATCAATCTGACATTCAATGAAGATGCAAACCGCTCGTTGTGTAGATTCCTTATTGCCTTTGATTCTTATCTGCTTCATTTTAACTACCCAGTCTTCTGGTGCTTACTGATTCCCAGCTCTGCCTTCCTGTTTTTCCCTTTGATATTTCCATACCCTCTGCTCCTTGTTTCCCACCCCCTCTTATTTTCCTCCCCCCTTCTCCCCTATTTATTTTGGGTCTATACATCCGAAACTCAAAACTCCAATCATCTGAAGAAGTGGGTTGTGCCCACGAAAGCTCATGTTTTGTTGCTCTATAAAGTGCTACCAGACCATTTGTCGTTTTATAAGCTTATCCTGTACAGACTAACTCGGCTACCCCCTGAAGCTTCTGAAATACTCCTGTGATCTATAAGAATGGCCGGACTGGGTCAGACCCAAGATCCACCTTAGCCCAAGGGTCCTGAGTGCCACTGGTGTGGAAAAAGTGAAGACGGGAAAGTTATTTACTTATTCCCACAACATAAGAACAAGTGGTCACCAACAGAAATGAATAGGCATCAGGTTTAAAACAAACACATGGAATATTTTCTTCACGCAGCACACAGTTAACCTGTGGAACTCCTCACCAGAGGAGGTGGTGAAGCCTAGAACTTTAAGAGGGTTCAAAAAAAAGCTAGATAGATTCATGGAGGTTAGGTCCCTCAATGGCTATTAGCCAGGGTGCGCAGGAAGGTTTACTTAGCCTCTGTGTGTCTGGATGTGAGTGACAGGGGAGGGATCATGTTAAGATTCTCGGTTCTGTTCACGCCCTCTGGGGCACCTGTCATTGGTCACTGTGGGCAGACAGGACACTGGGTTTGGAGGATCATTGGTCTGACCCAGTCTGGCCATTCTTCTGTTCTTTTCTGCGGCACTTGTGTGGGAAGACAACACCTTCCCTTGACACTGATACGTGCCACCCATGGTTGAAACACAAGCTAAAATATGTCTGCCCCGCTTGACTCCAGAATGGGATGCCGGTAGGTGGGCACCCGATAAGGATGCTTCCTAATGTATGGCAAACCCGTCTTGGAGCATCTTCATTGGATCGGTACCAAGGGGTGAATAGCAGCGTTGCCACAGCAATTCTAGTTCTAATTTGTCCATTTGTCCTTCCTCTCTTCCCTCCCCCAGGCTCACACCCCCAATATCACCGTCCTAGGATCGGGCGGGGGTCTGCGGGCCATGATAGCCCTCCTGGGCACCTTGGTGGAGATGCAGAAACAGGGTCTGCTGGACGCCGTCATGTATCTGTGTGGGGTGTCGGGCTCCACCTGGTAGGTGCATGTTTGTGGAAATGAGAATGAATCACTTTTCCTGCATGGAGTGGGGGGGGGCAGTAAAAAATTTTCATCAAATTTCAGGGCTGGCAGAGACCTCAGGAGTCATGGAGTCCAGCCCCCTGCCCAAGGCAGGACCCACCCCAACTCAATCATCCCAGCCAGGGCTTGGTCAAGCCGGGACTGAAACACCTCTAGGGATGGAGATTCCACCACCGCCGTAGGGAACACATCCTAGTGCTTCCCCACCCTCCTAGGGAGATCGTTTGTCCTAATAGCTAACCTCCACTGGTGGGCTCCACATTAGTTTCACACACACAGAACAGGAATCCACTGTCTAGGAACGAGTTCTGCAGAAATGGATCTAGGAGTCAGAGTGGGCCATATGCTAAAGATGAGTCAACAGTGTGATGCTGTTGCAAAAAAAAGCAAACATAAATTTGGGCTGCACTAACGGGGAGTGTTGTGAGCAACACACGAGAAGTCATTCATCTTCTCTACTCTGTTATGATTCAGCCTCAGTTGAAGTGTTGTGTCCAGTTCTGGGCACCACATTTCAAGAAAGATGTGGAGAAATTGGAGGGTGCAGAGAAGAGCAACAAGAATGATGAAAGTTCGAGAGAACGTGAGCTTGAGCTAGGAGGGAAGACTGAAAGAACTGGGCTTGTTTCGTTTAGAAAGGAGAAGACTGAGAGGGGACATGAGAGCTGTTTTCAAGTATCTAAAAGGGTATTACAAGGAGGTGGGAGAAAAATTGTTCTCCTTGCCCTCTGAGGACAGGAGAAGAAGCAATGGGCTTAAATTGCAGCAAGGAAGGGCTAGGTTGGACGTAAGGAAAAATTTCCTACCTGTCAGGGTGGTGAAACACTGGAATAAATTGCCTGGGCGGTTGTGGAATCTCCATCTGTGGAGATATTTAAGAGCAGGTTGGACATACACCTGTCAGGGATGAGCTAGATGGTGCTTGGTCCTGCCGTGAGGGCAGGGGACTGGATTCGATGACCTCTTGAAGTCCCTTCCCGTTCTCTTGTTCTAAGGTTCTATCATTATTTGGGTTTGTCCATATTCAAGGTAGTAGGGTGAGCTAGTCAATATCACCTATGAATATGACTGAGCTCCATTGAGACCTCTGTGGTTTGGATACCGAATGCCGTGACATGCTGGGACTGTACGAGGCTGTAAGAGGATCTACCCAGACATTTTATCTCCATGGAAAGCCTTCCTGTTACCTCTCCGGTGCAGGTGGCTTCTTCAAAGTCAGCAAAATCCCTACATTTCCTAAGGCTATAACAGACCACATGGTGGGCCTGGGTTCCATTAAAATGCCTGAAGGGTTAAAAGGAATCCCCCATCCTGTTCCCTTAGTTTCAGCCGTATCTCTTCTGGTTCCTTACCAGGTGCATGTCCGCCCTCTACAAAGACCAGAACTGGACGAAGAACGTGGAGAAGCTGGAAGAAAACCTCTGTGACTCACTCTACAGTGATGCATGGAGGCGCCAAGAGGCGTACTCGCTAGTGAACCAGGCAGCTGATGACGAACACTTCTCTCTGACCGACATCTGGGCCTCCTTCGTTGTCTACAAGACCTTGCAGCAGGTGGGTTGATGAGTAAATCCAGAGTGGCTCCACTGGAAAGTCAATGGATTTACTTAGTATATTTCCCTCTCTCTTTCTGTTGCTATAATAGTTGGGATCTAGGAGCAAAATATTGTCCAGCCAATCTGAACCCTTAGGCAACTTTGTACATCTCAGACTATATGCTCCCAGAACCACTAAAATGTCTGAGTATTCCAAGGCTGTTTAAGGGATTTGGATACACAATTCCCATTAAAAAGCGTGGGAATTTGCCCTACATCACTTGATTTGTTTTAAAAAACCCTCACCCGAGCATCTACTCCTAAAATCCTTGACTTTCCAAAGTATTAATTGATTAAAAGAACTAGAGGACATGAATGTTTGTCATGGGCATGAATTGTTAATAATGGTTTCTTCAACTTAGCAGGAGGAAAAAAACCCGACATATTCAATGGTGTGAAACTGAAGTTAGGGTGTGTCTATACAGCAAAATTATTTTGAAATAACAGCCATTATTTCAAAATCACTGTACTGGTGTCTGCACAGCCAAACCGCTATTTCAAAATTAATGTGAAATAGCGGAGGGCTTATTTCGAATTTGGTAAACCTCATTCCATGAGGAATAACACCAAATTTGAAATAGCTATTTTGAAATAACGCTGTAGTGTAGACGTACCCTTAGAGAAATGAAGACTGGGGGGAAAAAGTGTGGATTTTTGACAACCAGGCATGTCGGCTTCAGGACTGCCATCCAGCTAAGCGAAATGCATAGCTGGATTGGGCTTACCATAAGCCAAGCCACCAGTGTCTACGTTTGCAGGAAGCCAATAGGGAACGCAGGCTCCCCTCCATTTCCCTTCCTCCTCACAGAATGTGGGGTAGAGGACACTAGTGGGGGCTGCCCTCAGCGTTCGATTTACGGGTCTACACTCGACCCAATGAATCTAACACTAGAAAATCGACCTCCGGAGGGTCAGTCTTCTCTGTAGTGTAGACACGTCTTCAGAGAGGACTATGACCCTTCCCCCTCTTGTAAGTCTACCGTTGAAATCATTTGGAACATTAATGCCATCCAAGCATCTGCTAAAAGAGTAGAAGATCGTTATCCAGTAATAGACGCTACACTTGGATCAATCATGGAAAACATACTAGGAAAAGAAAGACTTTAGTCCACAAATTGACTAATGAAGGTGCCTTACGTTGAAGCCTTCAGAGAAGAAGACAAATGTTGATTATGTGACCTGAAAAAGTACACAGACGTGATTCTTACAATTTGACAGCTGCCATTTCTGGATTCGACTCCTAGCTGTTAAAGATCCCTGTCTTATAAAATACTGAGAATTAAACTGAGTAAAGCCCTGCTAGCCATGGGGCTGTGATGTGATTGCAAGAGAACAGACAATTTGAACATTAAGAGTACATCTAATGCTATTTCAAAATAATGTGCGCTATTCTGAAATAATTCGGTCTGCGTCTACACTTGACCATTCTTTTCCCTCATTGAATCAAATGCCATGTTCCGAAAGTTGCTTTCTGCCCGATCATGGGCGTGAGCGAATGATCATCTCAGCTAAAAGGCTGGAGGAAGTAAGGGCACGAGAAGTCACCACAGATGAACGCATTGCAGTCAAGAAGCTCCTTAATGGAATGGTGCAAAATTCCAAGAAGGATGTAGACGTAATGCTTCATAGAAGGGCTGAGTAGTCAACTTTAATTTGTGTGATGATTTAAAACACATGTTAAATATAATAAAATGGTCTTGAAACTTTTGCTTTCTGTTTTAACTATAGGGCCTTCACCCTCATGGTCCCACCCGTTAGCCTTAACTCTCCTGGAAAATCAAACACCCTCCACTCCTCCTTTACCTTGCTTTCGTTGTTGAAAAAAACCCCTTATAAGCGTACCAGCACTGCAGTCAAGAAGCCCATTAATAGAATGGTGCAAAATTCCAAGAAGGATGTAGACGTAATGCTTCATAGAAGGGCTGAGTAGTCAACTTTAATTTGTGTGATGATTTAAAACACATGTTAAATATAATAAAATGGTCTTGAAACTTTTGGGTTTTTTTAAACTATAGGGCCTTCATCGTAATGGTCCCACCCCTTAGCCTTAACTCTTCTGGAAAATCAACCAGCCTCTACTTACCTAGATTACATTGTTGTGAAAAACCAGCTATAAGCTGATCTTCCTTTGTAGGAAGACATATTTTTGGAAAATTGGGTCTTGTTCTCGTAGGTCCATTTGCAAGTCACCACTATCGATAGATGTGGATTGTGGTGTTTGTCCGTACCGGGCACACAAGAACAAGGCCACAGCGACAAAGATGATCTCAGCAGAAAGGGCCTCTCTATTTCCTAGCCCAGGTGTGGGACATTACCAGCCCAAGGCCGGATCCGGTCTGCCAGCATTAGTCCCTGGTGGACCACCGCCCCTGCGTATTTACCTGGGTCTCCACAGGTATGGGAGATCACACCTCCCATTGGCCATGGATCACCATTCCTCACCAATAAGAGCTGCCATCACCTGAACCTGCAGAGGGGCAGATGAATATAGTGGCCCACCATGGGTTAACCACCAGCGTTTTATTGCCCATCCCCGTCGTAGCCTCACCTGATTAGTCAGGACTAGAATTGCTTGGAATATCACAGAAATGTTTCTGTGCTAATAGATTCTTACCTTTCCAGAAGGATCAGACCAAGTTATCGGAGCACAAGGAGTCTTCCACGAGTGGTACAAATCCTTACCCCATCTACGCAGCAGTGGAAGCAAACCTGCATAAATCACGGGAACACGGCCTAGGTAAAACAAAACACACCAGTGTTCTGTGTGAGAGTCAATCTTTGTCTGAAATGTCAAGTACTCTATGGAAAAAGTATATATTGGTGTTGCCTCTTCCTTTTTCTTCTGCCATAAACCCTTGTACGTGGAATCGTTATTCCCATTAGCCAAGAAAGCATTTGGCTCATGAAAGCTTCTGCCATAAACCCTTGTACGTGGAATCGCTATTCCCATTAGCCAAGAAAGGGGTAACAAGCATTTGGCTTGTGAAAAACCCACTCCTAACAAACCTCGTCCGTGTTTCACAGAGACCTGGTTTGAATTCACTCCCCACGAGTCTGGCTTTCCTGGCCTGGGGGCATTTGTGAGCACCAAGTACTTGGGAAGCAAATTTGAGGATGGGAATTTGCAAAAGGAGGTAGAAGAGAAAAATATCTGCTACCTGCAAGGTGAGCATTCCAGCCCCTGTTTCTTAATAGATGGGTGGATGGGGACGGATAGATATGGTGGATGGCGATGGATGGATGGATGGGTATGGTGATGGATGGATGCATGGATATGGTGATGGATGGATATGGTGTTGGATAGATGTAAGGTGATGGATGGATGCATATGGTTATGGATGGATGGATGGATATGGGGATGTATGTATGTATGGGGTTGGATATGGATGGATGGATGGGGATAGATTGATATACAAATATTGCAGGTCCACCATATTCTTCTAATGCATTATGAGATCTCCCTCATATTATAGACTCATTAAGAATGTTTCCAGCCCCCTACCCTGTAGGTCAATCCAAGTTTCAGAATTCTGGCCAGTTTCTTGCATTTACCCTCCCCTACCATTCCCCCCACCCCCCAGTTTCTACCTTAATTTCATTTCAGGCCAATGTAAAACGTTCCTGTTCCATAAAATGTAAACATCGCCTTCCCTGTCTCTGCTCTTGAAACATTGTCGGTAGAGTTTCACTTAGTACGTATTACAAAAATCCATGCATCAGTTCAATGAGACACATTTCAACATGAACAGTTGAAGGGTCCCATTCTGATAAGCACAATTGGTTGTGTTTGTTTCGAAAGTGAAATGTTGTCAAAATCAGCATTGATCATTCAGATTTGAAATAAAATAAATATGATTCTGGACGGAGGTTGACCAGCCCTGCTCACAAAAAAATAAACATCTGCTAAGTATCCCAAGGAAACCAAGTTGCAAAAACACATAACCCATCAAAAACTGGCCTACCAGTGCCCCCATTGACTTCTCCATCAATGCTGTTGCTGTCAAAGCAACTCCTTGCATGGGATTATGGGGAAAGTCCTCAATGAACTCTACCTGCACCGTTTGTAAATGACACCTTTTCCTTCTGATTTTCAGGTTTATGGGGAAGCGCCCTTGGAAGCAGGGAGGAAAACAGAAAGTTTGTCTCAGGTACTGGGCGTTTTGTGCATTGCAGGTTGGGTCAAGTCATCAATTGTGTTGGAACTGATGACTTGGGGTGTTCTCCTCTTTGGAAGTATTTCCAAACAAGTTGGGCAAATGTCTCTCCAGAATGCTCTGGGTTGGCTGGTTCTGCTGCTCCCAAGGTCCACCGTTCTGTGAATTAAGGCACAGATTCTCAAAGCTGACCGGCGGATTTGGGTCGTAATTTCCATGAACGTTAGGAAGAGTTGGGCATAGTCTAATCTCATGCCTCAGGGTCTCAGCTGGTCCCCAGCTGTGGTCAGGAAGGAATTTCTTCCCCGATGCACAATTGTAACCTGTTGCTGTTGTTATTATCATTTGCCTTCCCTTGTGAAGCATCAGCAATCAGCAATTAAGAAGTATCCACGCCTAAAAAGGATCAATTGGCATTGGAAAAAGTTCAGAGAAAGGGCAACAAAAATGATGAGGGGCCTGGAATGGGTCCCGTAAGAAGAGAGATTAAAAGGATTGGGACTTTTTACCTTAGAAAGAGGAGACTAAGGGGAGATAGGAGAGAGGTCGATAAAATCATGACACGTGTGCAGAAAGTGAATAAGGAAAAGTTATTTATTTATTCCCACAGTATAAGAACTAGGGGTCACCAAATGAACTTAACTTTAAAACAAACAAAAGGAAGTTTTTTTTCAGTCAGCACACAATTAACTTGTGGAACTCCTTGCCAGAGGATGAGATGAAGGCTAGAACTTTAACAGAGTTCAAAAAAGAGCGAGGTAGATTCCTGGAGGTTAGGTCCATCAATGGCTATTAGCCAGGACGGGTAGGAATGGGGTCCCTAGCCTCTGTTTCTCTGGAAGTGGGTGACAGGGGAGGGATCAAGTGAGGATTCCCTGTTGTGTTTCCTCCCTCCGGGGCACATGGCATTGGCCACTGTGGGCAGAAAGTACACTGGGCTGGATAGACCTTTGGCCTTACCAAGTAGGGCCACTCTTATGTTCTTATGAGGTTCCTGGACTCAGCAAGCGATAGCTGGGGAAATGTACTGGCCCTCTGGGGTCTCGCTCTGCAAACTCATGGAAATCTGGTTTCTTTAGGGAGCTTTGAACCGTCCCGTTTAGATGAAATCCCCATTTAGAACTTCATTGTAATTTAGCAAAGATTTGGATTTGGGGAAAATGGCCAGGAAAATAGTGCAAGTACCCCTCCTTCCTAGCAGTGTACGTGATAGCAAACCCCTTGTACTATCGGGCTAGGGAAAAGTAAACCGAATGATTGGTTACTGACGATTTTAAAGGGAAGCAAAGGCTCAAGCATTGGCCTCAAAATTTCTGGTGGTGTTTTGCAAATAATAAGGATCAGATAGTATCTCCATTATTAAACCAAGATAATTATACATGTGAAAGCTTGACTCTAATTGCAGGCTTGTTTTACCCTGCTGTGACTGCCCAGTGAAAACCAGTCTTCATTCACAGAAGCACACGTCGAATGTACAGCCAATGCACTCAGTGGAATTGCCCCTGAAAAGAGCTGGCACAAGTATTTTGCCTACACAATTTTCCTCCACAAAAGCCTGTTTTGTAATAACGATTTTAAGTATATTTTCAACAGTGAATTCTCAAACTGCAGCAACATCAAAATGAAGTCACTTTTATTTTATCGTTTGGCTTCAAATGTCATTCTTGAGCTCACTCGTTGAAATATCCTAGAGTGCATTCTATTTTACATTGCATATCGTTGATACTACCTTTTTGTTACCTTCTGAGGCTGCACTGCTTACGAAATAAAACATTTTAGCAAGGCGAGTTTGAGAACTGTGATCTGACTTTTGTCTCAGTAGCAGTTCTTGAAAACCTTTTTTTTAAGTTTTGACTTTTTGAACCAATTCGTGACAAAAAGGATATGTCCGAATGTTCAGTGTTTCCCACCAGGTAAACATTCTGAATGAAAATGGTGGAAATTAGATCAAAGTCAAGTCCCTGATGCTAAATCAAAGAGAACCTCAAACCTGAAATGTGTTTTGTTTACTGATGTGGCTATTGCCCTGAGCTGTGTGAAATGAGTAATGATGCTTGTGTTTCGATTTCTGTCATGGAGAATTGGTTCGGGACAAATTTGTTGGAGGATGGAAAAAAGAAATGCAGAGTGCAACATACGAACCAGGTGGGTCATTGTATTTCAGAACACATGGGACTATTTTCCTTAAAACTCTCACTGGGTTTTTATCCTGCCATGACTCCACTTACATGATAGGGGTTGTGATCTGCACCACTGTGACAGGCTATGTCTAAACCATCACCTCCAGTGTAGACTCTGCATGCATGCATAGAAGGTGGGTTTCATGCTACTGAGCCCATCAGCCTGTCTTCTGGGGCGCCCCATTGGCCTACCCTGCTTGGCCAGCTGTTCTGGTCTCCCTCAGGCAAGGCACAGGATTGGGGTAACAGTCCCCTAACACATCAACACAGATTCTGAATTAGCTCAGCTATAAGCCACTAACAGCACCCCAAAAGCACAGCCCCA